AAAAGAAAAAAGACGCAAATCATATTTCTGCATCACCCCTACAATTTACCCCAGTCAAATCCACATAGGCAGATCTCAGCTGTACTGCTTTGTTCAAATAAAGGGCTGTTTTATATGTAATTTTTGAATTCTGACCGCACATGAAATACGTTCTTTTAATATAAGGATCCCAATGGGTCATTCGTCCAAGATACTGATCCCTCTCTTTTTGATACAATTGACATTCGCATAATATATGTATTATATCTTCTGTCTCTGGAGCTCTGCAAATACAAGTGCATTAATTATAAGGGACTTGGTTAAATCTTCCATATCTAACCATTGTGTCCAGCTGCTCAAATCTTGCTCGAGTAAATACCACCCTAAGATATTTGGGCATTTCTGCATTTAAATACTTGGCAATTTGGAAGGTACTTTTGTACTGGCTCGTCCATTTCAGTGTGTCAACCTTTCTAAGGGTGGCTACATCTTTCTGTGCTTCTATATCCAAGATTCTTTGTGCAGGAATCTTTTTAGCTTGTTCTCCAGAAACAACTGGACATGAGACAGGGAGACCACAGCTCCTAATGTAATTTGTCAATTGTACTATCCAAGAAGGCTCTAACTGAGATTTTGTCTGTTTTAACAAACACAATTTTGGGAGTCTGTCAGTTTCCAAAGCATTGATTTTGCACCAATAACTATAAGCCCTGATTTTAGACAAGGAACAAATCGTATGGATTCCCAATTTGGCTCTAGCTGCAGCAGCTAAAGTTCTTTTATCCACACTCAAGATACTTCTCAGATGCTGTGATTGTATTTGTTCTAATAGTGATATGTGTTTTATCTCAGACCAGTGACTCTATTATTATCCTCCTTCTCATTATCATCTATACACAGTCTTCCAGATAGTTCTGACTGAATTTGGTACTTTTGACTGTGGGATCCTTCCCAAGGATGTAAGTTAGTTAAAGATAGCATCATAAGATGTGCACTATTCCAACTAATGCAACTTTTTGTAATTGATGAGTTGAGATTCTATCCATTCCTATTGTGTTCAAGTGATTTTCCAGATCTTTTGGTATGGCATCAAGCACACCAACCACTAATGGCAACATTATTATTTTGGTTTTCCATATGCATTCAATCTCTATTTGAATGTCTTTATACAGTATTTCCCTATTTTTTCTAGTTCTTTCTCATTGACCTTCTATCATCAGCTACTGCAATGTAATTTCCTATGTGTTCTTTTGCAATTACACTCATGCCCACCTTATTATGGGTGACATATTTATCAGTTTGTATATGGAAAGTCCCACAGGAACTTAATTTCTTGGTATTCATCCATTTTTTTTAATACTGTTGCTAGTAAGTTATAATTTTTACCAATATTCCAATGAATCAAGCTGCTGGTGGCGGTGAAGATGATGATGATTACTACACAGAAGTTAGATCTAGCTATTCTATCAGTTCTTTCATCATTATTTCTCAAAATATTTTTTCTTTGGAAAATAGTCAACTTACGGTTTAGCACTATTTCTGTTTCCCATTCTGTGGTGATCAGGATGCTGATGGATTCCAGTTAGAAAAGGTCCTTTTTCCTAGAATAGAGAAGATCACACTGCTAAGAAGAGGGTCATTTCCCTCTTTTTTAAATTATCCCATGGGAGGCAAGGGTCTGAGTAGTAGAGATGGGGCAGAGAAGGAGGAAAAAAGAAAAGGGGTCATGAAAGACTGGCCCTTTGACTTTATTTGAGATGGAAGAAGTGAAACATTGTGCAAAAGAAGGCTATGAATGCAAAAATTAATGGCCCCAGTCTGGCTATTATATATGAACAGCACAATCCTATTCAAATCTGTTGAGAACAAAGGTTCCTGTTTTTCTTTCTTTCTTTTGTATTCTTAATCGTGATTTTAAATTAGCATTAGGCAGTGAGAACAAAAAGAAGAAAAAAGCTGGGGATGATGGGGACTGTAGCCCAGAATATTAGGAATCCATTGAATAATTTATTCAATGGATCAAAGACCTGATTGTGCTTGCCACTTACGAGCAGATTGCCTATACACGTAGACTTGGTATGGACAAGTATAATGAAACATGGGACTCATTTACACAAAATACAATAGGTTAAAAAAATGATAGTCACATAACTGTATTAGAAATATATATGCTTCTGAATAATATTTGCATTAGAGAAATGCATATAGATTTGTAACGATTTACTGGTATAATGATACACTATGCTAAGTTTTTTATTTTCTTCATTGTATTTTTGTCACTTTTTCATAATAACACTTTTTAATGTTTTTTTTCTTCTTGATAGTATATTATTATTATTTTTGTGTTTGTCATATCACTTTATTTTGGTCAGTGAACTGGTCAAAGTCATCACATTATTGAATGTTGAGGCAAAAGTAGTTGGCAATACTCAGTGACATATGTGAGGAAGCTGAGGATTGGGAATCCATGGTTGAGTACTATATCTGGCTATTCTTAGTGGATAAGTACCTCCAGGTATCAAAGACTAGGACAAAGAACAGCAGACATTTCTATACTTCTGTGACAAAACAGATTATGAGCAATACAATTAATATTAAGATGACTGATTTTGGTTTCCCCCAGTGAGAATTTTCTTACATTAACTTGTTCCTCTTGTAGCCACTTCTGCTTGCTAATCCAGTTGTTAATCCAATACTTTCACAATGAATAAGACTTCTAGACTAACAAATCCACACTTTTTATTTGAGGCTGTATTTAGGGCAGACCCAGCTAGGTAGAAGCATCTAGCTGACCTTGGCTGATCTTGAAAAGCTAAACAAAGTTAAGCCAGTTTAGTACTTGGATGACAGAACATCAGGAAATATGAAAGCCATAAACTAGACTGGGAAGTTGAAAAAGAATCCCCAAAGACAGTTGTAGAAAACTGCCTCCATGGGGTTGTCAAGATTAAGACATGGTCTTGTCCATGGAAATGCCAAGACTTGAACTTGATTCATGGGAGTTAAGAGATGGGCAACTTATTGTCTGGCAGAATGCACATATCTCAGGAATAAACTATCTCATGTCATCAACGGCAGTGAAAGAAGTAGTGGGTGATTCCAGATCTGCAACTGGGTGGGTCTATACATGTTTTTCTTAACATTGTCCTATCTGTCCAGTTCCTTCTTTTTTTCTGACTCTCTCTCTCTCCGTTTCAGGCTGCTGAGAAGGAATAGAAAACTCATACCACGGACCTAACAAAATTGCTTGTAGATGGCTCTAAAATTAAGACAAGGGCCACATATGCTGCAGATTGCCACTGGACAATGCACAGTAATGGTGGCTATAATGACCCATATCACAGAATAGTCTGAAATGTCCAGGGCCTCTTGGTGTGGATGTAAAAGATTTTACAAAAAGAGATGAGGAGAAATGGCTTCAGATCTGAAGAGCAGAGATGGTAAAGAAAGCAACACTGCTATAGAATGCTGCCTAGTGCAAGATCCATCCAGAAATGTGGGGTGTCCTTTGCTAAGAGTGTGGAGGAGTAAGGACCCCCCCCCATTTTTTTTTAAACAATCTTTTGCAATATTTCTCCTGTTCATTCTGCCAGCTAAATGCATGTACTGTATGTTGCTGGGCATTATCCATATAGGATCCTTGCCATTATAAGAAATGAATGTGTTCAAAAGCAGACTGTGAAACACATGTGTTCCTGCAATACATGTGGCTCTGAACAACCTTATTTCTCTAGCTGAACCATGATGTGCCAATGTACGCTCATGGACAACACTGGTGGAATGAACAGGAAACCACTTCAGGTGCCTGAGCTCCCTACTCCATAGGAGAAGGAACCCTCCACCCACTAGGCACTACTGGATCAGGAAAGTATTACTTTACAACTGATCTTCACTCTCATGCATCAGTGCCCATTTAAACATGTGCTGTTCTGGGGTCAAATCCTTATGGTCCTCCAAATGATGCTAGACTACAATTCCCAGCAGTTTTAGCTGGCACGGCTGGCATAGGGGATGATGGGAGCTCTAGATTGACAACATCTGGAGGCCTGCAGCTCCTCCTTCCTAGGTATAGTGCTTCAGAGTGCTTAGTGCATTTATATTAAGTTTATAACCTTTTAAACGATCTTTTAAGGTAGTTAATTAAGCTGGTCACCCTGGAATGGAGACGAATCACTTTCCTAAGGACCTCAAATGAGTTTGAGGCTTGCAGTTTGGTCTCTCTAACTGTGCAGCCCTATTCCCACTTCGAATGAAACCACTACAAACGGCAGCATGTAAGTGACTTTGGATGACCTCAAAAAGTTTCATGGAATTGGATATGATTATGAGGGCTCTACATGCTTTGGAAACAAACTGAGAAGTGTTTCAGACTTCATGCCAACAGGAACAAGCATCTCTCTGCTATTCATGCAGCTCAGTGGAGCTACGAAAGCAGTGGCATCTGATAGGTTTGCTTTTCAGGATCCTGCAAGTCCCCAAAAAGGCAAATGTGATGAATAGCAGAGATGGTTAAGCTTCCTATCAGACATGGCAGAAAACCTCACCTCTCCAGACGCCAACTCCCTTTTCAGGAATTGGCTGTTTCTTTACTGAAGACGAAAATGAAACCGTTTACACACGATCTGCCTAGGGCTCAAAGTATATGCCTCAGAGTCTGAATGCTAAACCTTTTCCTCCCACCTTTCTAAATCAATAGATATTTGGCCTGTTGTGTGTTGGCCTTGAATGGCATCTGTCCTGTGCTATGCACCTGTCTTAAGAGTACACAGTTGTCCTCTTTAGTCTGGGAATCACTAGTTCCTGCCTCACTAGCCCCTTTCCTGACAGAGATCTGCTGTATTTGCATCAGATTCAGAGAACTTCCTCCAAGTTAAAGTGTGTGCATCCCTAGAAGTTAGCACTTGAATGTGAGACCACCAGGAAATTTAAGACTGAGAAGCTGGGGAAAATTTTTTGAAAAGATGGTAATGGCAAACTATTTCCATACTGCTGCTGAGAATGTCACTTGGACACATCCATGGAGTCATCAGGATCTCAACTCAGCTCAAAGGCAGCTTTACCTGATAAAGTTTAATGAGGTTTATACCTAGGAAAGTGAGTATATAACCAGCTTTTAGCTTCTACAACACAGTTACTATTAATAACAATTCAATATTAAAGGAACCCCCAAAAAGGCATGGCTAGTCTTTGAATTCTCAGGTATTGCTTTGTTAATCTCTTTTAAGAGAGCAGGGGAATATTACTGGCCATGGAGAGGAACATGTAAGGAATTGGACCAGCAGAGAAGGAAAGGGCCCACTGATTAGAGTGACATAGACTGAGAATCTATGGTCTTTCCATATTGGCCCAGATGGCTGAGACTGCTGGGGATTGTAGTTAAACTATATCTGGAGGTATATAGATTCCCCACTGCTAACTTAGAACTGAGCAACACCAGAAGACTCCACCCTTTTTTAATGTTATTTTTCAAATTTGCCACTATTGCAGTAAATGTAAGATTAAAATTCTATAAATAAATGCATCTCTGATTCTTCATAGCACCAGGCTTAAATTTATCCAAGGACTCACACAAAGGAAGTCAACCACGCAACTGTATAGTGGGGCAATCTCACTTCAAAACAGCTTTCTCAAACCTGGCACCACTGGATCTATTGGACTTCAGCTCACAGAATTACCAGCCATTTTACTGGCTGGGAATTTTGGGATTTGAAGCCCAGAAATTTGGAGGACACTCTCCTGGGAAAGGCTGCTTTGGAAATGACGAAGTAATAAGTAATGAAACAGCTGAAGAAGCTATTGGGTGAGACTACTTTCAGTCACTTCTGGAAGAAGTTGCTATGCTATAATAACCAGTGAAGTAAACTGCAATAACATTGTATCCTGCTGATTTTCTCCAGATCTAATCCATCCTGTCTAGACCTTAGACTAATTCTCACACGGGTAAGTTTTGAAAGCAGCTTTTGCTCTACCCTCTGTGCTTATCTGAAGGTGGCAGGCATCTTATCTGCCATTCCTTAAGACCATGTTCTACTTTTATCAGCCTTCCTTACCCTCCTTCAGAACAAAGATGACAAGGGCAGCTTATAAGAAAAACATAAAAAATACAATCATTATCTTGCCCCCCCTCCATCTTTTACTTTTATCACCTGTGATGCAAACACAGGAAACTGAAATTAATTAATTAATTAAAATAATTTGCCATCAGTGTGGCAAGGCATTGGGCAAGAATTATAGAAATCTATATTTTTATTAGTTTTTAATTTTTTTTATTAAGATTCATAACTTTCTCCCTTCCAGTTCCTGCATTTCTGACAGGAGATGAGAGGAGAAACCACCAGATCCTGTAGTCCCATAACATAAGGCGACTAGCATTTCCTCTGAAATCTTTCCTTGTCTTTGCTAGTATTGTTTGGTGAAATAATAGAGGGAATTATGTGAACCGCCCCCTCCCCGCTTCTTCCACGCTGCCTCCTCGTCTCTGAGCCTTCATAGGCAGACTCGCAAATACTTTCTTGAGAGCAGAAAACAGAGACATCTTTTCACTTCTTCCTCCCAACCTCTCTGAGTTTTCTCCTTGTCGAAATGAGGTTCAGAAAGGCGATCCGATCTCGGCTGCCCCAAATATCTCCAACCGAGAGGAGGCAAGTCGAGTTTCAAGGAGCAAACCAAAGGGAAGAACGCGCGACGCTGTCTTCTCCGTCAGCTGAGCATGACGACGCACACTCTAAGGAGGGTCAGACAGGCAGAAGGGCCAGGAAAAAAAGTCCTTAAAAAAAGGAGGTCGAGACACACACACACATTCTTACCTGTTCCGGCCCAGTTTCTGCAATGCTTGGCCGCAAAGGAGTCAAAAGCGAAACTGAAAAAGAGCATGTTGGATGAAGAAAATATAGCCGCTTCCCGTTTCTGGAGGGAGATAAAGAGCTTGGCGCGGATTGGTCCACCAGAGTCCCAGCGTTGATGGAAAGGTGACGCGAAGGAGGAAGGTAAGGAGCGGTTTATGGGAGGAGAAGAAGAATCCGATCGCACTAAGAAGGCGGACGAACTTGTGAAGAGGGATTCAGTTCCACCCCGAGGCTGCGTGGTTTTCTCTTGGCGTGCAGTGGAGGAAGAAGATTCGGTGTGAAGCCCTTTCCACTTCTTCTGTGCAAACACACATGCACGCATACACACCCATCTACAAAGGAATTGAATTCAGTTTTTTTCCCTTTGTTAGTTTTATTTATTTATTTTTAAATCTGTTTCTTAATCTCTCTTAAATTCCTGCAGTGGGGATATAATTAGTAAACTGAATCATCGCATAATAAGGTTTGAACCTGGATTGAAACTGACAGACTGAGGTGAAAGAAAGCAGGGAGGCTGGGGGCAGTTTGCCCCACACTACAAGACCCTTCTTTACCATTAAAAAAAAAAAAAACGAAGAAAGGGGATTGTATCTCCTTCAGGGGACAAAAAAAGTGCACGATACAAAAATTTTGACAATATTCTGGACAACACTGAAGGACATGCCAGAGTGATTGATTGGATTGTGACACTCTATGGAAGTGAAAGTTGGACTTTAAAGAAGCAGGATGGGAAGAGTATTGATGATTTTGAACTTTGGAACTGGAGAAAACTCTTGAGCAGTGTTTCTCAGCCTTAGCAACTTTAAGCTGTGTGGACATCAACTCCCAGAATTCCCCAGCCAGCAACAATTCTGGGAGTTGATGTCCACACAGCTTAAAGTTGCTAAGGCTGAGAAACACTGCTCTTGAGAATACCACAGACAGCCAAAAGAACAAACCTTTGGATCATCAAACAAATCAACCCAGAGTTCTCACTTGAGGCACAAAAGACCAGGCTTAAATTATCCTACTTCAGACATATGCGAAGACCCAGCTCTCTAGAAAAGGCTCTAATTCTGGGAAAGGTGGAAGGAAAGAAAAGAGGACGACCAGCAGCAAAGTAGATAGATTCGGTTACAGCAGCAATGAGTGCACCATTGGGAGAGCTGAAGAACCAGATTAGGGACAGATCATCACAGAGAAAAAAAACTATGTGGTCACTAAGAGTCAGCAACTTGATGGCACTTAAGCAATCAATCAGGCAATTTCCAGATGCCATGGCAAGGGTATCAAATTGGTGGCTCTCCAGCTTGGTTTGGAATTACATATGTCAGCTCCCTTTAGTCTTGGTGATGGAGGCTGGGATTATTAGTTGTTTTTCAACCATTTTGGAGGGATGTAAGATGTGCCACCCCTGTGCTCAACATAAGAATGGTGCTAAATGTGTCCTTGCCACAAAGCCTTCTTTGAGTTTAGTTTGACTTCATGGTCTCATCCGTGTAGGGGGAGATAGATAGATAGATAGATAGATAGATAGATAGATAGATAGATAGATAGATAACAATATGGAAGTAGTAAGCCAGTTCTCTTCATCCAATAGGGACCCCAGTGTCAGGATCATTGGCTTTTGCCACTCTGTTAATTAAAGACTACCATGTTAAACAAAATGAATAGTCTGTATCTGCCCAAATGCTCAAGCGGTTCAGTGAAAGGCCTTGTAAGAAGCCTAGCTTCTTACAAAAATATATGCTTCC